GTTTGAATTATTGGAAGAAAGGTCTTACAGAGCTCTAGTGAATGGAGAATGTGCACCAGGCGTGACCATGCCACCTGTATATTGTATAGGCCCAGTGGTGAGTGAAAAGAGTGAAGGTAGTAAAGAAAAACACCAGTGCCTGAGTTGGCTCGACTCTCAACCGAGTCAAAGCGTAGTGTTTTTATGTTTTGGAAGCCTCGGGATGTTCTATACAAAACAGTTAAAAGAAATTGCAATTGGGTTAGAGAGAAGTGGAGTTAGGTTTTTGTGGGTGGTGCGTAATCCACCACGGAACGATGAGACACTGCGCAAGTTAGCAGTAGCTGATCCGGGCATAGTCATTCTTGCCGGAAGGGTTCTTGGAGAGGACAAAAGATAGAGGATACGTGATGAAAACATGGGCCCCACAGGTGGCTGTACTGAGTCATAACTCAGTGGGCGGGTTCGTCACTCACTGTGGTTGGAACTCAGTTCTTGAAGCAGTGTGCGCTGGGGTGCCAATGTTGGCGTGGCCCCTCTATGCAGAGCAAAAGATGAACAAAACATTCTTGGTGGAGGAAATGAAGGTAGCTTTGCCGGTGAACGCTTCAGAGGAGGGGCTGGTGGGTGCAACCGAGTTAGAGAAACGAGTGACTGAATTGCTGGACCCTGATAAGGGTCGACCGGTGCGACAGCAGGTTAAGGCAATGAGAGACGGAGCTGCGGCGGCCATGACAGAGGGTGGGACATCTCATGTCGCCTTAGCCAAGTTGGCCGAGTCATTTAAACAAGGATGAGGAAATTACTGGTGGGAATACTTCCATTTTAATGCTAAAATTAGCATTAATTCATTTGTGAGGTATTAATTATTTCCTGGCTAGCATGCAGTTGATATGGTGAGGAAGATGAGGAAAATAATAATAGTAAATAAATAAAAACTTTTTCTTTAATGTATTTTACTATTTTTCATCTTCTTAAATCTTATATTTTCTGATTTTCATAATTTAAGTCAAATGAATAGTATTAACTATTAAATAATCTTGGCTACCTTTGTTTTGTTATTCCTATTCATATTCATAATCCTATTCTCAGAATACTTATTTATTTTATTATTTGAGAAATACTATTCTATTTTTTTAATTACTCTTAAACCCTTTCAGTTTATTAATTTAATTAAACACCTCTTAGAAAAAAAGTTTAAAAATTAACAAAAACAATGGTCATTAATTCGTCGATCTGGCCTTTTTCGATCAGATCCACATTGGATTTGGCCATCAGCAACAACCAAAGAAATGGCCGTCGTTGACGGTCAACAACGACCAAATCTGGCCTTTTGCGGCCGTCTAAGACCAAATCTAGCCGTAGATCTGGCCTTTTTCGACCAGATCAATGGTGGATCTGGTCAGAAAATGCCATATTGACGCACGGTTGACCAGATCCGACAGGTCTGCATCGTAACGCCATTTTCTGGCCAGATTCCTGCGGTGGTGGTCGGAATCTGACACTGTGGATGAGTGGGGGTATTTTTCTCATTTTATAAAAATTTTATATATTGTAGTGTTTAGTTAAATTAGCAAACCTAAGAGGTTTTTTTTGTGAATTTTTAAGTTTTACCTTGTAATGCTCATCCTATTCAATTACCCAATGTTATTCTCAAAATCCTATCCAAAATAACAAAACAAAGGGATCCTTATTACCTAGTGACTTTTATGAACTGGGAAAATCACAAAAAAGACCTAGTGTTCGATTAGTGAGCCCCATAGGTTTGAAACCTGTAACGCAATCCCCTGCAATTTTGAAATTCTGCAGGCAGGCCCTTGAGATCTGGTTTTCTTCTTCTTGGTTGAAACCCTAGGGCCGCCAATTTGGGCAGACATGACTCGATCAGGATACATATTCCGCACAACCCTTCATCGTATTGATAAGATCTTTTGCTTCAAATGCAATTCTACCCTACTTATCTTGAATTTCTCTATAAGTCATACAAATATTACAGGCTTGACTTTCAAATTCTTCCAACTGCAGTCTGCCATGAAGCTAGCCTCTTTCGTCGCCCACCCAATAGTTATTTTTCTTGGGAACAGTAGGACCTTCCTTCCCACACAGTTATACGTGGAGCTTATTAAAGATGCTTTCAACCGAATACCCAAGTCTCATGGGTAAAATATTACATTATCTTATCTAGCTTGGTTATATAAATCTTAAACAATCTTTAGACCCAATTCTCTAATAAACTGCAGCCAACAAGGCTTAGTAACAACACCATCTCCAAGATACTGTGCAGCAGCAAGTTCATAATGGATGCTTGAATCAATAAATAAATTACTACGAGCAAACCATTGAATGTAGGTGCCACTTGCCAGGATGAGTAAAGCTAGCGTGTCCATTTGTTGAGGAGTAAATAATGGCTTTATTCCTTTCCAAATCATAAGCATTCACCCATTCACCACCACTGTGCTAGGAGAATTGTATACACCATAGCTCTCCAGTGAAGTTGCTTATACCGAAACACAGTCACCCACATGCTGCTGACCAATCTTGCAAAGAGCAATGTTTGACAATGCATGATGGTTACAGGACAGAGTTGATTGACAATGCATTTAACCTAGATCAATTATTGAAAATAAATGAATTACAATTGGACCCAATTGACAAATATGGAGCATTTAAAAAAAATAAAAAATTAAGAAATAGGAAAAACCTAATTAACTAATCAACAATAATTGATCATTCTCTTAAGCCTTCATTAATATATAACTTTTGATTAAGATAAGGGCGGAGCAACGATATTACTTCTGGAGTGGCCAAAACATGTAATAATTTAAAATCTAATAACTTATTCAAAATCCAAACCTACTGAAGCAAATATCAAAGCAAGTGTAGATGCAAAAAATCTACCGTTATGAAAATAGGGTGTGATCCCGTGAGGTTGAGGTCACTGACAATCCGTTAGATCTGCACACATGAAAGGGCAAGTGTGAAGCTTTCGGAAAACACCGAGGTGGTGTTTGCCGTAGGCACTCCGATGCTCAAGTCAGCAAGACTGAAAGAGATTTAATAAGAATTAAGGAGAAGAAGAATTACCAGGAGTCTTGTCGGAGGCAAGGACTATGGCGGAGGCGTCGGGTTCTTGGGAGCAAGAACTTAGGAGCAAATAGATGGTTTTGAGTAGTGTAGATTGACTATGGGAGACTGCCCCCTAATGAGAGGGCGAGCCTCTGTTTTTATAGTGAACCCAAGGGGTTGAAATCCTAGTAGGACATTAAGTCCTCTTTTGGGAGATAATCCCTATCATAAAAAAGATATGATTTCTTAACCTTATCAGATCAAGTTTAATAGTTTGAGTAAGATTTGAAATCTTAGTAGAAGAGGAAATAGAATGGGATTCTGATTTCCTATTTATGACTGTTGCAGGCTAATGGGCTGAAACCCAGTTTAGCTTAATTTATAGGATAACCCAACTCATAGAGTGGGTAAGTCGCAAGGTGATTTTAAGCGTAGACCCAATCGAGATTGGGTTGAGACCTTGAACCGTGACATGTTTATTTCGTTATTGGACCTCGTCAAGCCCAATATGATTTTTGACCCTAACAGCAAGCAAGCACATATATATATATATATATATATATATTCTATAATATATATATATATATATATATATATGTATATATATATATATATATATCTCTAATCATACTGAAATGATTAATGTTTGCTGTAATCATAATTCTTCATTAGTGTGAAAAGAATTTTTAGCACTTTAATAATTAAGGGAGCCCCTTGCAAGGGTGGGGTGGCCTGCATGTGGCTCCGCCGCCACTGATTATGATTCCATTGCGACTTTAAAAGAATGCTTTGAGGTAATCAAATGATGGTTACAGGATTAAGGATTGAAAATGCATTTAACCAAATATCAATCTTGTCTTCATTCTTGAATTGCCATTCTTCCTTTGCTACGTTAAGGTTGATCTCCGTTTTTCCGATTGTTGTGGGATTTCCATTGCATTTAGCTTTGAATATTGATTCATGTGAAAATTTGTGTTTTGAAAACGTGTAAGGAATTATTAATTATTATTTTTCATGATTTGAAATCTCTATATATTGAAAACCTAAAAAATAGTGCACTTTTAAAATGCACGGAGCTCTTCAATCAAGGCTGACAACATTGAAATAAAGATTCTCTTACAGTTTTCGTTTTTCAACAATCAAATACACCTTGCATTCACGGGTTTTATTATAATCTATGGTTCAATTAATACATTGATATAACATTTATAAATCATAAACTAAATAAGATGTACCAAAATCCTACCTTCACGCTGACGATTCCAGGTTCTAGAAGAAAGGGAGTAAGATTGATTCTGATTGAAGAAATTATTTTCAACAACAAACCACGTTATGGCTTCAACTACTAGCAAAAAATATATAGGTTAAAGGTTTGTTGTCATCTTGTTATCTAATAGTCAGAGATTATACGTTTCTACAAAATTAACAAAACTCATTCTAGAAGTTACTTGGACATATTATAAATGAACTAGAAGCAGGACCCACGTTATGTCTAGTTCAAAGGCAATTATAATTTTTCTTCTTCTTTCACCTAACAATGCACCTGTACCATGCCACCGCTCAACTGAAGGACTTTGATGAGAAGCTTTACTACAAATCCCTTTTTATACGTATTTATATTTCATATTTACAATGCACCCATTTCTCAAAAAATGAACGTATTTCTCAAGTATTAGAATGTCATCAACCCAGTCAGGATTATCCTTATACCTTCGGATATAGAGGAACCCGAGGCTTTCACAAAAATAAAAAATAAAAATAAAAAAAATGGTTATCAACCCTTCAACGAGCTGCCCGCCCGCATCATCTTTATTTAATGTGTATCGATTTCACAGAAAAAAATGAACACATACTTTATAATAATATTATAAAATATTTGACTACGTAACATAAACATAAGACAAGCTTTTGAAAGTCCAACAAACTCTATTTAAGGGTAAGCAGAGTTGAGGAAGAATTACGTGCACAACATAAACAGAGTAGTATTGTTCTTGAAATAGGGGATTACTTGTAATTGATCCCTTTGTTTCAAGTTTCAACTCAAAAACTACAACGATATGGAGGGCGCTATTGTTCTATATCCATGTCCAGGAAGTGGTCACCTAGTCTCCATGGTTGAGGTAGGAAAACTCATACTTTCCAACCATCCTTCTTTCTCAATCTCTGTTATTATCCCCACTGCTCCATTCGAAACCGCTGCAACTCACGACTATATAGCCGCCGTCTCCAAAGCTATACCCTCCATCACCTTCTACCATCTCCCACCGGTCGCTCTCCCTCAAAATGCTTTGTCTATTGCAAAGGATTTCCCAACCCTAGTTTACAAGCTTGGTCAACTCAATAACCCTAATCTCCTTGAAACCCTCTTGGCCATTTCCAAGCGCTCAGAAGTCAAAGCATTTATTATTGATTTCTTTTGCAACGCTGCATTTCAAGTCTCGTCAAGTCTCAATATCCCAACCTACTATTACTTCACCTCTGGAGCAAACAACCTTTCTTATTTTATTTACTACCCCAAGATTCATAGAAGCTTAACCAAGAACTTGAAAGACCTAGAAGACATGAAATTAAATGTCCCTGGCTCACCGTCCGTTCGAGCAAAAGACATGCCAGAATCCATGTTTGATCGTACGACTTATGTGTATCAGTGCTTGGTGGACACTGCCCTCAACATGACAAAATCTTCAGGGCTTCTCGTAAACTCGTTTGAATTGCTTGAAGAAAGGGCTTGCAGAGCACTAGCGAATGGAGAATGTGCACCAGGCGACTCCATGCCACCCGTGCATTTCATAGGCCCAGTGGTGAGTGAAAAGAAGGAAGGTAGTAAAGAAAAACACGAGTGCCTGAGTTGGCTCGACTCTAAACCGAGTCAAAGCGTAGTGTTTTTATGTTTTGGAAGCATGGGGGTGTTTTATACAGAACAGTTAAAAGAAATTGCAAATGGGCTAGAGAGAAGTGGAGTTAGATTTTTGTGGGTGGTGCGTACTCCACCACCGAACGATGAGACAGTGCGCAGGTTAGCAGAAACTGATCCAAGTATAGAGTCATTCTTGCCGGAAGGGTTCTTGGAGAGGACAAAAGATAGAGGATACGTGGTGCAATCATGGGCCCCACAGGTGGCTGTACTGAGTCACAACTCCGTTGGCGGGTTCGTCACTCACTGTGGTTGGAACTCAGTTCTTGAAGCGGTATATTCTAGCGTGCCAATGTTGGCTTGGCCTTTATATGCGGAGCAGAAGATGAATAAAACGTTCTTGGTGGAGGAAATGAAGGTAGCATTGCCAGTGAATGCGTCAGAGGAGGGATTGGTGAGTGCAACCGAGTTGGAGAAACGAGTCATTGAGTTAATGGAGTCGGATAATGGTAAAGCGGTGCGACAGCAGGTTAAAGCAATGAAAGAGGGAGCTGCGGCGGCCACGAGGGAGGGTGGGTCATCTCGTGTCGCCTTAGCCAAGTTGGTGAGTCATTTAAACAATGATAAGTGAGTTAACTTGGTGGTGGTACCCACTTGGATTGAGTTCCATTTAAAGCAGAAAATTCCATCGGTTCATTCTGGATAACATGTACTTGATATTCCGAGGAAGATGAAAAGAAATTAAATAAATTATTAATTTGAGGAAATAAACTTTTTCGTTACGCATTTTTCATCTAATAGTTTATTCCATTTGCTTTTATCGACTGAGCTAACAGTCAAAGACAGATATGACCAGACTGAACTGTCGTAAACCAGTAGGTCAATAGAAAGGACCCCCGTCAATCTTGATTTGTAGTGGTCAATGTGGCCTGGTTAAGGTGGGCGAAAATTAGTTGAGCTGTTTCTATTAATAAACTGCTCCATAGTCGTCTAATTCATTATCATCATGCATCACCACTTTTAGCGGTTGTTCACTAGCAAATGAAATTGAAACTCTAAAAAGTAATACCAACTCCACCCAGGTTCTCTTCCATTTATGCTGTCAAATCCGAACCCACCACCACTACCACTGCTTTAAGATCCTTCATCGAACATAATTTTAAAAACATTAATGGGAACGGTATATCACAATCCCATCACAATAATGAAATCTTGTTTGTTTCTAGCGCTAACCATAAATGATCAGTTTTTGATCAAACAATATACGAACTCGTTTTTGTTTCTTGTTTTGTTTTAAAAAGTCAACACTACTTCAGTGTTATTTTATACAATAATAATATTTTGGATACTGATTTTACTAACCAGTATACTAATATTTGTTAAAATTATATATAGTATTCATACTATATATATATATATGATATATGTATTATATTTTAGGTTAGTATATTGATTAGTAAAATCCGTTAGTACGCATAGTATTATCCTTTATATAAAAACCTTTCTCTCTCTCTTTTAATTTATTCATGTTTCGTAATTTATTTACAATTATTTTATTTTACAAAATATTAATTTTTAATAATACTTTTCTATTCAATCAAAAATTTTAATCTTATACTGATTTTGTATTTTCTCTATGCGTTTATTTTTAGAGTTATGACGTATGAGGTCTAAATTTTATTTGCAAAATCTTTATTTAAAAATTTGTGAAAATTAGTAAACAAATTAAGATTATTAAAGAATTTGATTAATTTTTAGCTTTCAATAACAAATTCTTTACAAAGAGAGATAGAGGTCCAAATTTTTATAAGGATAATAACCGATGAAATTAAGAACTCTCTATTTATAAGGGTTGCCCCAAATTTAAATCATGTATATATACACACTTTGTCCCAACAGATTTTACAAACAAAGATTTATATTCGGCCGGTCTTATTGACAAGGCCGAACCATTGCAAATCAAAAGAAGGCTAGAGCTATTGATTAATTAACATGAGTAAGTCATTGGAGGTGGAGATAATGGGCACCACAGAAATCATCAAACCATCTTCTCCAACTCCCGATCATCTAAGAAACTTTAACCTCTCCCTTCTTGATCAAATTGTTCCTGTGGAATATACAGCTGTAGTTCTTTTCTACACGGGGAATGGTGACGCCAATGCTGCAAAAAAATCTCAACGTTTAAAGACTTCATTATCGCAAACTCTCTCGAGCTTTTATCCATATGCCGGGATAATTAAAGACCATAAATTGGTGGAATGTAATGACAATGGAGTTGTATACATTGAAGCTTATGCCAATTGTTATTTATCTGATATTCTTCATCAACCTGATCAAAAGCTGCTAAGAAAATTCCTTCCGATTGAGATTGAATCTCCAAAAGCAGGCACGGGTCCACTACTTCTTGTTCAAGCAACATTTTTCAAATGTGGCGGAGTTGCACTTGGATATTGCCTGTCACACAAAATCGGAGATGGAAATACAACAGGCATGTTCATCACTAGCTGGGCTGCAAATTCTCTCGGGTCTAATAAGGCAGTGATTCCTAAATTCATTGCAACTTCTGGCCTTTTCCCACCAGATGATTCATTGGCTCCTTACATGGATGTGATTGGTTCTAATTATGTAACCAAGAGGTTTGCTCTTTACGAATCAAAGATTGCTGTGCTTAGGGCTAAAGCTTCTAGTGCAAACGTCCCCAAACCAACCCGTGTAGAATCTGTGACAGCACTCATTTGGAAATGTGTAACCACTGCCGCTAGGTCGAACCGAGGATTTCCAAGGGTATCTTCAACAGTACACTCCATGAATTTACGAAAGATGGTTGTGCCGCCATTGCCAGATTACGCTGCAGGTAATATTATAGGGGACTTTCCAGCTGAGACGAAAGAGAAGAAGCTAGATTTACCGGACTTGGTTTCGAAATTAAGGAAAGGTAAGGAAGAATTTTGTAAAAATGGTCTGAAAATTCTTCTAACGAATAAGAGTTTAACGAAACCTGAAGAGTTATGTAACGCGGTCGAAAACGAAGATATAGATTTCTATATGTTCTCAGACCTGAGTAGATTTCAGGTATACGAATCAGATTATGGATGGGGAACACCAATATGGGTGAGTATTCCTAATTATATGCATAACTTAGTTATGTTCGTGTCCACGAGAGATGGCCTAGGATTAGAAGCGTTTGTGACTTTGTGCGAAGAAGACATGGCATTATTTGAACGTGACCCAGAGTTACTTGCATTTGCAGATTTTAATCCAAGTGTCTTGGAAGCACCGAGTCACCTAGGGTTGGTTTCACGTCTTTAATTAGGAAAGAAAAAATTAGCAATTTCTTTCCGGCTATTGGTTGATCTTGACATGGATTAGTAATTTTATTTTATTTTATTTTATTTTTTCACATCTGATTCATGTTTTGATCTTTTGCTTTGAGGTCTGTAACAATATTACAGAAATATATCCTTGATTTTGAAATGGATATTATCTATTTATATTATACATTCTTTTGCATATATATATATACATATATGTGCTATTCAAATAATTCTTAGAACAATATTACAGAAATATATCCTTGATTTTGAAATGGATATTATCTATTTATATTATACATTCTTTTGTGTATATATATGTGCTTTTCAAATAATTCTTAGAACAAAGAATATGCAATACAAAATTATAAGTTTTTAATTGGTTGACATTTAAATTTATTGTTATTTTGTTTTTCAAAAATCATAATAGCTATTTTAATCAATATATATATTATTTTTTGTGTTGCTTAATTACATTATGTTCTTGGGATTATTTATGAGGATCTTTTTTAGTTTTAATTTTCTTAAACTTTCAATTTAATTATCTAAACTTTTATTTTAGATATAACGATGATATATACCATAAGTAAATGGAATGAAATGCTGACTCTTTTAAAATATATAAAAAAATAAATATGAACTCTATGGGATGCCATGAGAAAATAAAAATTAGTTTTAAACTTTGAAGTGGGTATCTTAAAAAAGTCGGGGTTTATTTAGTCCATTAATAGGGTGTCAATAGTAGGGATGATCGGTCCGGGTATCTTTTAGAGGAATCGGAACTGACTGGTTCGTGAAACATGGAATCAAAACCGGAATCAGTCAGTTTCAGTTCCTAAATAGGTGGAATTGGTATTCTATTCCAGGTACCCCAGACAATGACAAGATGGTCCCTATTAGTTTAAAAGATGACAAGACACCTTTGCAAATTACAAATACAATACACCTCCATTTGTTTACAAAAATACAAATATGATTGATTACTTTATTTCAAATGGCCTAAATACAAATCACGAGATTTTTTATTTTAATAAATTCTTTAACTTTTCTCTTTTTAATTATTTTAAATATTTTAAATGGTGCAAAAACCTACCAAATATCAACTGGTCAACAATACATCAATTTCATGGATTAATTTCTTTTATTAAGATAAAAATATGTTACTACTTAGAAATAATCCTTGACATCCAATATAAAATTGAACTAGAGAGATAATCAACTACGGAGCTAGGTTTTTCTTTTTCTTGAAAATGGTAAATATGTATAAAAAGAAAGAAAAAATATACAAAATAAGAGGGGCATACCCCAAGAGAATGTCAAAACTAACCAAAATGGATGTGCCTATCTTTTTCGACATGCAAGACAAAAAGATGGGCACAACCGCTCAAAAAAAGGAGCATGCAAGCTCTATACAAAAGAGAGAGGGGACACAATACAAGCGCTCTAAGGGAGTGTGTAGGCTCTATATAAAAGAGGCAGGGGCACAGGCGCCCTAAGGAGTAAAGGTGGAACAAATGGGCCGAGTTAGATAGGTCAACCCTAACCCAGCCCGCAATGAAGCGGGTTGAACCCGGACCTCCAATATGGCAGTCCGAGTTGAACCCAACCCGGTAGCAACCCCCGGGCGGGCCGGGTTGCAAAATGGCAACCCGCAACCCGGCGGGTTGTTGTTTTGTCTCTTTTAAAAGAGACCCGCCAACCCGCCGGGTTAGCTGTTGTCAACTCAGCGGATTGGCTGTTTGACTGTTTAGCAACAGCCAACCCGGCGGGTTGGCCCAAAAAAAAAAAAAATTAATTACTTTTTTTTTTCCAAATTACCCCTTTACCCTTGAAATATAGCCGCTTTATAGCTGTTGGAGGGGTCTTTTTCATCATTTTTCTTTCCCATTTTTTTTCTAGAAATTGGCCTTAAACTTTCACATTTTTCTCACAACTCAAATTCTCTCATATTCTCTAATCTCTAATCTCTCAATTATTCATTTATTCTTTTAATCTCTTTGTTATCAATTTGCTCGTATTTTAATTTTTATTAGTTTTTGCAATTTTTAATTCATATTTCCAATTTTCCAAATTCCAAATTCCATATTCTAGTTCTCTTTCTTTAATTTTTATTTCTTCTACATCAATTGTTTTTTTCAACTACAATGGATAGATATTTCTCTCCCATCAATTACAATGATGAAGGAAACTACTATCCTAGTCCTAGTCCTGCTGATTTTACTAACATAAATGTAGGAGGAGATTTAAATAGTCCCGCTTTCCCATTCTCAGAATCCGATACACCTCAAAATATGCCCCCGATTCCAACAGCTCCCGGTGGTTCTAGAAGTCGTCCTCGTAATCGTCGTGCTCGTCCAACTTTATCTCAAGCTGAGGCGGGATCATCAACTGCCGTCGAAAGCGAAGACAGACACACATCATACGTTTGGGCGCATTTCGACAAGTTTTACAAGATAAAAAATGGCGTTCAAGTCAAGAAAGCGAGATGCAAATACTGTGGAAATATTTATAAAGTTGATTCAGGTAATGGTACTAGTACTTTAAAAATGCATGCTAATAAACATATTAATCAACATGGAAATAGAGAAAGCAATCAAACTCAAATAACTAATATGGGTACTAATTGGCGTTATAATTCTGATGTATATAGGGAACAGTTAGCTTTATATATTGCTGCAACTGATCAACCTATTAATATGGCTGAAGATAAATATTTTGAAAGATTTGTTCAAAATTCATTTTTTCCAGGATTTAAAAGTTATTCTAAAACTGCAACTAGAAATGATTTAATAAAATTGTTTAAAAAAATGAAATTAGAATTAAAAAATAAATTTCATACTTGTCATATTAGTGTGGCTCTAACTGCCGATATTTGGAGTGGTAGAGCTAAACAAGATTATATTTGTGTGACTAGTCATTATTTTGATAATGAATTTAAATTAAATAAATCTTTATTAGGATTTAGATTAATGGATGTGGATCATAGTGGTTTAGAAATCTATAATAAAATTGTTTGAAGTTTAGAAGATTATGATATTGTTAGTAAAGTGTAAGTTTAATCTTAGATAATACAAGTTCTAATAATAAAGCTATAGATTATTTTCAAAGTAATTATCCTTTATATAACAATTTGAAGTTTTTTCACCAACGTTGTGCATGTCATGTTATTAATTTAATTGTGAAAAGTGGTATGAAAACAACTAAAGAAAATATTAATAGAATTAGAGATGTGAACTTGGATTACTAGTAGTAATAAAAGAAATGCTGAATTTCAAGACGTTTGTATAAAATTAAATATGTCTCCTAGAACTTTTGCATTAGACATGCCTGCTAGATGGAATAGTACTTTTAATGTTTGATTCATGTTTACCTTATGCTAATATAATTAGTTATTTTGTAGCAAATAATAAGGTCCTCATTATTGGTAGAAAATGATTGGCAAATAGCAAAGTATTCATTTTTTCTTAAAACTTTTTACCAATCCACTTTCAAACTTTCTGGTGTGTATTATCATATTAGTCCATTGGTAATACATACAATTATAAAATTTCCGTTATTTATAAAAAACAAAGACAATGTAATTTTAAATGCACCAATAAAGGCAATAGAAATTTTTTTTAAAAAATATGGAAACCCATTCATTTTCTTTATTGTTTAGGTGTTATATTATCCTAGAATTAAATTAGTAGGTTTAGAAAATGGTTTTGACAATTTATGTGAAAATTTACAAACCGAAGATATGTCAATCAAATAGGAGAGGTAAAATACACTTTTCGAAGTATATTTCCAATATGAAAACAGGTATGGGAACCCGCAAAGAGGCGAAACATTCAGGGAAGCTACATCAGAGAAACAAATGAAGACTTCTACTCTTGGGGTGCACTGAATAGGCCGAAGAGGACCCGAATCCGAAGCATAACCTTCTCTTCAAAAGCCCACCAACAACAACAACTAAGTCTGTCTTCCATGCAGTCACAGAGTAATGAGCTTCAACAATATTTGACAACCCTGAATATTACCAGTAGATCCACAACAGAGAGCCAACATGATCTTTAGACTATTGGAGAGCCAGAAAATGTATTTTTCCGGTATTATCAAGTATTGCCTTGGTGTTTTCGCTGTCCTGTCTAACCGTCTCATCCGAACAAACATTTAGTGCAAGTGGAAGAATTTTAATGAAAAGAGGACTAAACTTTCACAAAAAATGATTGAAGTCCCACATGTCTTCGAGATTGGGAACGGTCGCGCCATCAAGGTCATTACGGGTTGTCGACGATACTTTAATAGAATCATTTCAATTTTGTAATATAGATGATACGGTGAGGGAGGTCCTAGTGAACCTCAAAATTAGTTGTTTTGTAAATTGTAACTTGTAAATTAATTGTCAATTATTGCACTCTTTTTTCATTACAAGTTTTTGTCCTATTGGGTTTTTCTTTGTGAGGTTTTTAACGAGGCAATAATTATTGTAATTTCTATTTTATTTTTTAATAAAGAATAAATTTAACTATTATTATATTACAATTTTAATGTATTAAAATTGAATTAATATTTGGAATGTTAACAAAAAAAAATTTAATTTAATTTAATTATTGATATTTGAAAAGAAATTAACAATTAACTAAAAGCAATTACATTTATTCATTTATAAATTGTTAATTATTCATTTGAAAAGTTAATTAAACATTTAAACTTAAACAAAATAAAAAAAAATAAAAAATAAAAAAGAGGGTTAACCCGGCCCAACCCGCAGCCTAACCCGGCGGGTTAGGGTTGGTGGTCCGGGTTGGGCCAGCCAATTCCCCAACATTAGCGGGCCTAACCCGGCCTGCCAATGTTGCTGGGCGAGTCAGGACCGACCCGCCGCTAAAAGCAACCCACCGCGGGTCGAGCCGGGCAGGTTGCTTTTCCACCTCTATTAAGGAGCACACATGCTCTAGAAAAAACAAACCAAGCAAAATCAGTCTAGCAGGTGCCAGATGGCTCTAAGCTGAGGATGAATGTCATACTTAAAGGCCAAGTCGCAGACTCAATCTCGGACTAAGTTGAAAATCTTATCAATGACAACATGCTGAAAATCTTATCATGATTCATGTCATACTTCATCTTCTTGTCGATCAAGAGGTCTAGTTTCTGACTCATAGTCTCCCATATCCTGAACAACATAGTCAAGAGTCTGAATTTCTTTTTGACAATACTCTTCCTGAAGTTCAGACTCAGAAGAAAAATACATCAATTCTTCATGGAAAACAACATTCATCATCACAAACGTTTATTGAGTTGGAGGATGATAACAATGATACCTCTTTTGATGAACACCATACCCAACGAAAACATATTTCAATACACGAGGGGACAACTTGTTGTGTTGATGTTTATGAAGGTGAACAAAGGCGATACAACCAAAAACATGAGGTGGTAAGTTGGGGACCGTTGGAGCATTCACTACTTTACCAAGGGCCTGAAAAGGTGTCTAGAACCCAATAGAAGTAGAATTACTCGATTGATTAGGTAAGCTACAGAAGTAAGTGCTTCTTCCCAAAAAGATAACAACATGTGAGCTTCTATTAATGAGGCACAAACGACCTCCAATAAATGCCGATTTTTTCACTCAGCAACTCCATTTTGTTGGGGTGTGTTGAGACAAGTAGTCTGATGAATGATGCCATGTGTTGCCAAGTATTGTTTAAGAGCCAAATTTTGATATTCTCCTCTATTGTCATTTCGGAGGACTTGGACCTGTGCATTATACTGCATATGAACCATTTTATGAAATCCCTGAAAGAGCAAATTAATCTCCCTTTTAGATTTCATTAGACATACTTAAGTCATCCTTGTATAGTCATCAATAAAAGTAACAAACCAACGGGATCCACCTAAAGTAGTAACTTGTGATGACCCCAAGACATCTGAATGTATAAACATAAAAGGACTTGGACTTTTGTTTAATGTTAATGGGAATGGGACTTCGATGACTTTTTAATAGTTCACAAACATCATAGCTGAAGTTACCGATATCATTTTTTTCAAACAAACTTGAAAAAAGTTTCTTTAAGTAACCAACCGAAGCATGTCTGAGGCACCGATGCCATAACCAGATATCATATTTCTATTTATCCCTTTTAGAGTAATCTACAGTCAAATCCTGCTGGAACCTGACAGAACTTTGTGACTCTAAATCCAAGTAATACAACTGCCCCTGTCTAATACCATAACAAATCGTCTGCTTTGTTTGAATGTTTTTAAATTCACAAAATTCAGGCCAAAAAATCACCACACACGATAAGACTTTGGTTATTTTGGAGACTAACAACAAGTTATAACTCAAGAATGGAACAACTAACACAAAATATAAGTGTAAAGTGTTTTTAAGGGTTAATGATCCCTTCCCAATGACCCGGGTGGACTTACCATTGACAATAGAAACAAATTTTTATGAGGATGTTTTAAGGTTAAAAACATGCTTAGAATCAAATGTCATTTGATCGATAGCACCAAAATCAATTATCCATGCACTATTAGAAACATATATACACATATACAAAGACTTACAATCATTTCTAACAATAGCTACAAATGATGAAGACTGTTTAACATCTTCTTTCTTTTCCACAACAGCATCAATATAACTTCTCTTCTTGTTATTATTGGGTTTGCTAGATGAAATTGTTGGGCTTGCTAGATTTCATCAGCACATGCTGACTGTCACTTTGAGCTATCATTGTCGAAGTGTCAATATAATTTAGAACCATATTCTTCCGTAGAGTTTCTCCACACATCTTTTTTTTTTTTTTCACTTGACCTTTTTTTTACTTTGATTTTGACTTTTTTTTCTTTGATTTTTTTTACTCTTTTTCCTTTTTTTTTTCTTCGACCTTTTTTTTTTAAGAGATAAAGCAAAAAATAAAACTAAACTAAACTAAACCTTTTGAAACACAATCGGGTTTTGGAACAAACACTCACTGTTTTTTTTTTTTTTTTTTTTTTAACTGTTAAACATAAACTTCCCCTTTTTTTCTTTTCCTTAAACAGGGGCGTCTCTTCTTGGCACTGGACAGCCGGCGTGGTTCACTCCAGCAGATTGGGGATTTGCGGCGGCTTTTCGACTGAGTGATGGATTTGAGCGACAAGAGGATTTCCACGATTTGTTTGGAAGGAACGGTGGCGTCGATCTTGGTTCGCAGTGTCAGCTCTGTCGGTGTGGAACTTTGGTTCTCTTCTCGGTGGCAATTGATCTTCGAAGGTACGGAACGGCTACAGATTGATGTTGTCAGCTTTAGATCGTTGGTGTTTGGCTTCAGGATTTTGGATGGTGATGGCTTTGGTTTTGGGAAGTTTGTTTGAAGAATTGGGTTTTATGGGATACTTGGTGATGTGAGTTGCTTGGGTAGATTGGTAGTGGGTTGCCTGGCAATGTGAAGTTGTTTGGGATTTTGGGTTGATGTTGATTGGGATTTTTTTTTTTTCTTTGGTTGGCTTGTTGCTAACTTTGTTTGGAGCTTTGGATTTTTCTGAGTATGGTTTGGTAGCGGCCAAATTGGTGGTTGAGGTTTTGGAATTGGTTGGATGACTTGGATAGTTAGCTGGAGTTGATTTTTCAGATGGGATAATCTGGTGGTATTGAGATGGAAATGGCAATGATGTTTTAGGTTGTTCGGTTGGTGTCGTTTTCTGGGGGAATAGATACTCGCCAGCGAATTTTCTGACAGTTGCTCTAGAATGAGCAAAGTTTTAGGTCAAAGAGAGGCTTTATACCATGTTTAATTGAAAAATGGATTTCAATTCATAGATTTTATATAGGCGAGATACGATCTACGAAATTTTGTAATTATGTTAATTATAATATACCAATATAATTGGAAGATTATAATTATAAAATATCAAAAATATTATGGCTATTATAAAATTGACAAAGTTAAAGAGATTACATAATATTCAGGAAATATTAAGGAAATCTTTACTCATAAAGAGATATAACCAATGAACTACCTCAAGAGTCTCCCAAAATTATAGGAAGCATTAGTATTGAAATTTTAAGCACATATTTGTTATGCTTATTCATGTATGTTATATCTGCCAAGATTGTGATATCACCCACATCTGTACATATATATCATATTAATTTTATACTATATTGATTGTGTTAAGGTTAATTTGCTTTTTCTTTTTTGGGTGAAAGTTATATTGTTTTGATTTAATAATCTTACAAAGTTGTGAGCTCATTGAATTACATATTTTACTTCACCTTTCATTTCTTTATCTCGTATTTAGTTAGTCATTGATATTTGGACCAACCACCATGATATAGTATTATCTCGTTGTCGGTTTATTCTAAAAATAATATTATATATACAATATTTTTCATAATATGACAAAAATAATTAGGTGAAAGTTTATTTTTAAATTTAAAATCAGTTATATATATATATATATATATGACCTATGATATGGTCACTCCCCATATAAGATATCTAGATGAAGATTTAATTGCTTAATTTGGTATGTAATTCATACCAATAAATGATTTTTTTTTCTTAAAACTGGTTCATTTGAACAAGAGTTCTACATAAAAGATGGTCAATTTTGGTAAAAATTATGTTACTATAAAGGAATCAAAAGAAAATAACCTAACAGAATCAACACAATTCAATCATCCAAAATATTAACAAATTAAAATTCTGAAACGATAGAATTTCAAACTATAAATCAGCGTTACAGAATACGTTATGTACCGAGTCAGAATCAACTCATTTTAGCTTCCATGACTCAAACAATTTGAATAACGCAACACACGAGAATCCACCCTTATTCAATGCTGCTTTTGCTTCATTTTTCATGGCCTTGGTTTGTCTCCTAACGGAGTCACCTTCCTCCGAGTTCATAAACTCTCTAACTCGCTTGTCCACTTCAGTTGAACTCACAAACCCATTCTCAGACTCCACCATTGGTAAAGCGATTTTTAATTCTTGCACCAGTAATATCCTATTACATCTTTGCTCAGCATAGAGAGGCCATGCCAACATTGGAACACCAGCACACACTGCTTCAAGCACCGAGTTCCACCCGCAGTGAGTCACGAACCCACCCACCGAGTCATGATTCAAAATTTCCACTTGTGGAGCCCAGGACTTGAGAACGAACCCCCTTTCCCTAGTTCGATCCAAGAACCCTTCTGGAAATATCGAATCTAAGTCCGTGTCTAATTGAGGTGGATTCTTCACCACCCATAAAAACCTTTGGCCACTTCTCTCCAACCCCACAGCAATTTCTTTCAACTGTTCTGCAGAGAACCGTCCTAAGCTACCAAAGCACAAAAAAACAACACTTTGGATCGGCTGCGTGTCGAGCCACGCCAAATACTCTGGCTTACTATCACTATCACCACCACCGCCACCATGGCTGCTACCTCCCCGATTATCCGATGCAATTAATGGTCCGATGCAGTAGAGGGGTGGAAGCGGTGGAAGGGGACCGTCCGGCGCACCTAGCCCGTCTGTCATTGCTTTTACAGCTCTTGGTTCAAGAGACTCGAAAGTGTTCACTATAATTCCGGCTGATCTTGGCAACTGAATTGTGGCATCTAAAAAGTACTGATAGACGTTATCATCACGTTCAAGGAATGGTTGTGGCATGTCTTTGGCTGGCATGGGCGGGACGCCAGGAATATGAAGAAGGTTATCCATATCTTTAAAACTTTTGGTGGTGTTTTTGTGAATCGTGGGAAAGCAAAGCATGAGAGAGAGACAACCAGCACCAGAAGTGAAGAATTCATAAGTAGGGAAATTGAATTTAGCAGTGACAGATTGAGCAGCGTAGCAGAAAAAGTCGGCGATGAAAGCAAAGATGGTGTAATTGTTGGAGATAGAAACGAGGGCTTGGTGAAGATTAGGATTATTAAGGAGGAGGACTTCAAAGGTAAGGGTTTCAGGGATTTGACAAGAGGAGATGATTGATGGAAGGAGGGTAATAGTGGGGAGATGGTGGAAGATTATGGAAGGAATTGTAGCATAAACTTTATTAATATAAGGGGCGGTGGAGCCGGCGTCGTAAGGTGGATCAAAAACGATGATGTGAATGGAAAGTGAAGGCCGATGATTGAGGATGAGTTTAGCTAACTCAACCATGGAGATTAAGTGACCAATTGCTGGTGATGGGTACATAACAATGGCGTCCATGAAGCTTGGCGATGTGTGTGTTCTGAGGAAGAGATGATCAGACACTTGGGTATATATATATATATATCGTAGCAGGGCTACTTGAGCACCAGCAAACACCACAAATGACCAACATTTCTTCCCTTTTGCAAGTCTTACGTAGTTCTTGGCATACACGAACCTTTGACCCTCTAGACCCAAGCTCGTTCCCATGAGTTGTACATGTACGCTAACCCAATTGGTGTTAACCGAGGCCCAACGTTAACCATGTGAAATTTAATATCAGCATCAAGTTTACAATAATAGGATTTATTATTCGAAATCTTGTGTATGCAATGATGTCATATTCATATACCTTGATGTGTTCAATGATTATTGAAATGAGCTCAACAAAAACATCGAGGTTTGTTTATTAGACTATCGTATTTTTTTAATATTAAAGTTTGGACTAAAGAATCACTAAGCGCAATGAGTTGTCCAAATACACATGCTGACCATGTGAAATACTCATCTTATTCTCATCTGCCACTTATTTATGTGATCGCATTCCTTGTTTACTGTTGCTGATAATCTCAGCTGGGAACATTCATGATTCTTTAAATATTGATGCAATACGAGGTTTATTTCCTTGCCTGAACATATATAATAGGACAAGGCAACAAAACAGGACCTGCCTCACTCGGGCTACTTTCTATCATTGATGGTGACTTAAATCTTCATTTCTTTTCTTATTTTGGCTTTCATTTTATTGTTTGTTGATGACCTCTACTGTTCTCTAAGAAACAACTTTATTATAACACAAATTTCGCCTATTTGATTTGGTTTTTGAATTTGATTGCCTTAATTTATTTACTTATATATATATATATATATTATGATTATGGGTGTCCGAGCCATCTTACGTACACATCAATTAATTCTCGAGATTCTGAAATTATTAGTCGGGTAAGAACTCTAGTGACTACCTTTATTAGTAACTAAAGATAGACTTGAACTCAAAACCTCTTGAGTAATATATACAAAAGTCCCTATCAAATCATTTAATCATCCAGAGATAGTTAATATTCTAAAAATTACTGACAGAGCTTTTGATCAAAGACATTTGAAGTTAACTTGTTATATAGAAAACCCCAAATTCCCGAACTTAATGAAGTTTTACTACTCAATTTTACACATCACTTGTGAGATCACCAAACTACACAAACTCATTGAATGACGCTTCTTCTAGATGAAAATAAGAATACTGTCGAGATTTAATATATTAACTAAAACTACGAACTTTAAATCTTTAATGAGGTTTAAATAGCCCTTCAAATTCGGTCCAATTACCCTAATAGTAGTATGGCCGTATGGGTCATATCTATGATGGGTGGCTTCTTTTAATGCTCTCAATTATTTAAACAGAGGACTTTATTATTGGACTCATCTATCAAACGTCAAGACATCTACCTAATAAATATTCATATAGGGAAAGTGACTCACTCCTTACACGTATAATCACTTAAATATAAGATAACTAGACCAATATTTAATTGCTTAATTTCCACTTAATTTGCTTTTTGGTAATCATTCATAACAATAACGTAAGACTCCATCCACTTTGTTTATACGAAAAGATAATTGTCTCTTGCCCTTTTTTTCAATAATGTTGGGGCCAATTATTGAATACCAAGAAAACCAAATCCACCACCAATCTTCAGTTTCTAATAAAGTAATCATTAGAGCTATTAACAACTGATATCAAGATTTGAAAGATTAATTGAGATCCGTTTGGTTGAACAACTTGATCATTACCAAAAAAATAAAAATAAAAATCTACAATGATAGATTGCCAATTTTACTTAAAATTTTTGTTATTAATTACCAAAAATAATTGAACAAAATGATAAGATTAATAATAAAAAGAATAATACTAACCTTACTTGCTTCACTTACTCACTCATATTAATCTCCCATTTTACTCATTTTTCTTTATTTTTATACCCACCTACCACATAAGTGAGTAAAAGAAATGAGTAAGAAAGAGGCGTAAGAAAGAGGCGTAAGACTAGCATTACTCTAATAAAAACCCAATATTACAATACTGAGTTGTGAACCTGGTGAGACTCAACTCAACTCATTTTATCTTCCATGACTCAACAAATTTGGATAGTGCAACAGAAGACGAGCCGCCGTCACTCAGTGCTTCTTTTGCCTCTTTTTTCATTGCTAACGTTTGTTTCCTAACCGAGTTACCTTCCTCCGAGTCCATCAACTCTCTAATTCGCTTCTCAACTTCAGTTGAACACACAAACCCGTTTTCAGACTCCACCATAGGTAAAGCGATCTTGATTTCTTCCACTAGCAAAATCCTATTGTATCTTTGCTCAGCATAGAGAGGCCATGCCACCATTGGTACACCAGCACTCACTGCTTCAAGCACCGAGTTCCACCCGCAGTGAGTCACAAATCCACCCACCGAGTCATGATTCAAAATGGTCACCTGTGGAGCCCAGGAATTGAGAACGAATCCCCTTTCCTTGGTTCGATCCAAGAACCCTTCTGGAAGTATCGAATCCAAATCGGGGTCCAATTCTTCCGGAATGGCCATGCTTTTGACTTTAGAAGGTGGATTTTTCACCACCCATAAGAACCTTTGGCCACTTCTCTCCAGCCCCATAGCAATTTCCTTCAACTGCTCCACAGAGAACAATCCTAGGCTACCAAAGCACAAAAAACAAACACTTTGGCTCGGCTGTATGTCGAGCCACGCCAAACACTCGGGCTTACTATCACTATCACCACCGCCGCCACCTCTCCGATTATCCGATACGATTAATGGTCCGATGCAGTAGAGGGGTGGAGTGGGGCCGTCCGTCACCGATAGCCCGTCTGTCATTGCTTTGACAGCTCTTGGTTCAAGAGACTGGAACGTGTTTAGTATAATTCCTGCTGATTTTGGCAACTGAATTGAGGCTTCTAAACAGAACTGATAGGCCTTATCATCACGTTCGAGTAATGGTTTTGGCATGTCTTTGGGAGGCATGGGCGGAACGCCTGGGATATGAAGAAGGTTATCCATATCTTTAAGGCTTTTGTTGGTGTTTCTGTGAATCGTAGGAATGTAAAGGAAGAAAGAGAGACAACCAGCACCAGAAGTAAAGAATACATAACTAGGAATATTGAGTTTAGCAGTGACTGATAGTGAAGCGTAGCAGAAAAAGTCAGCGATAAAAGCACAGAGGGTGTAATTGTTGGAGATAGAAAGGAGGGTTTGGAGAAGATTAGGGTTATTGAGGAGGAGGACTTCAAAGGTGAGGGTTTCATGGTGGCGACAGGAGGAGGTAATTGATGGAGGGAGGGTAATAGTGGGGAGGTGGTGGAAGATAATGGAAGGAACAGTAGCTGAAACTTTATTAATATAAGGGGCGGTGAAGCCGGCGTTGTAGGGTGGACAAAAAATTATAATGTGGATGAAAAGTGAAGGTTTATAATTGAGGATGAGCTTAGCTAACTCAACCATGGAGATAAGGTGACCAATTGCAGGTGATGGATACAGAACAATGGCGTCCATGGGGCTTTGTGGTGTGTGTGTTCCGAGAGAGGATAAGACACGCACTTATATATGTACTCTTTAGAAGTCCGGTGGAATTCTGTACCCGAGGGAATACTATTCTTTTTTATTTACCTTTAGGCGCGTTTGGTTGGCGGTAATCTCATATTATTGGGATAATGTCATCTTATATTACTTGATTACTACGTTTAGTTGTTAAGTAATATAAGATTCTGATAATCTTCAAATACCAATAGTAACTATTATTGATAATATTAGAGTTAATCTGATTACCTCTATTTTCTTAGGTATTCTGAGATTACCAGGGTTATCATTTTTTATTACAATTTTATCCCTTATTAATGAAAATTTTAGACAATAATACCCTCATTTTAAAATAAATTTACATTAATATCCTATTTTAATTTTACCCTTATTTAACTAAAATTTTGGACAATAATATCCTTGTACTTAAAACAATTTATAGACCACTGTCACTCAGCCACCACCACCACTACCACCACCGTCGACAGCGGCCAACTACCACGGACCACCACCGAAAACTTGCCAGAGTCCCTAAAAAAGAACGAGTTTCGGTGGGAGGCTCCGGGAGGCATCGATATGGCCGAAAATGGCCAGATCTATTCTGGCCATTTCCGGCCAGATCTGGCTTGATATTGCCGTTTTCGACCATCGAAATGGCCGAAAACGGCCATATCGAAGCCTCTTCATCACGGTGAGGTACTCACGGGTGCTTTCGGAGATTTTCGGCTGTGGTTTGCGGTGGCGGCAGGAGGTGGGGGTGATTTCGTCATAAATTAAAATTTTATATAAGCGGAGGTGTTTTAGCTAAATCTGAAATATTGGGAGTTAAAAGAAATTATTCAAAAATTAATAATAAAAATAATCTTATATTAATATTTAAAAGGGGGATAATTTAGTAATTTAAATAACATACCTACCAATTTATTCCCCATAACCAAACATATTCATATAACATATCCACCAACTAACCAAACACATTTTTTTAAAAATTCCCAATAATCTTCTAAGGTAATCTATCTTCCTAGTAATCTAACATTCCTAGTAATCTAACATTCCTGAACTAAACGCCCTCTTAATAATATAGGAAGTTAGATATGTTCAATCTCTGAAAATTAATTGGATCACAATATTTGGTTCCGACATTTATTTTAAGAGTTTCTTTACGTTACGACTTTCAGAAATATCAGTCCACCTCTTTAACCAACTATATTGACTAACAGACTAAGATACAATATATCTTATTCCAAAGTTTATATATCCAAAGATTAATAAAACGAGATTAACAAAAACGTCAAGATATTTCCACAATTAGTTGTTGCGTAGTAATATTGGATTCCCTGGGGCTTTCCATAATCACAGGAGGATGATAAAAATTCCTAAATAGACATTTGAAGACAAAATTAATTTTATAAATTTCATTTTTTTTTTTTTTCCAAAACATATTCAAATTTTAATAATAAAAAAATTAAAGAACATTTCTTAACGTCAGTAAAAACATGGATGTCTAACTTTTAGAACTTCAAAAGTGTTTCTTACTTTAAACAAGTTCTTTTGGCCAATTGAAAAATCGAAACAAACAAATTCTAAAAGTTCATTTGGTATGACTTCTTTTAAGTAGAGCTTACAAAAGAAAAGCTTATTAGAATAAAACTTATATGAGTAGAGTTTTTTTGTAAAAATTATGGAAAACACAAAAGAGCTTTCTAATGTTAATTTCCCAAAAAAAAAAAGTCTTTAATATACAAGAATAGGTCAAGCCAAATTTATAAAATTGAATAGAAATATTTTTGAAAATTCAATACTCCGAATAAGCCGGAAAGAGATTATCGAAAAAGCTCAAAATTTAGGCTTCTATCGTAAACTGTAAATAACTTATTTTAAATTTTATAAACACTTTTGAAATGTAATCAAACAATCTTGAAATTTTTTAAAGTACTTATAACTTTATTTAAGCTCTTTTGACAACCAAATAAGTTCTAATAATTATTTCATAATAGATCAAGAGTAAAATAATATTTTTATTTAACTCTTAATCTAACAAGTGTCATGTGATTGACTATTCGGTTTTTACTAAAATCTAAGGTAGTTTTCTCAAATTTATTTTGAGTTTCAACGTTACATATAATATCAAATTTAAAATATGAGGCTGATCAATATTATACCAAAAGGGGTATTGGGTCTTTAGAGATGGTCTTAGAAGGTTATGCCTATGGCTATGGAAACTATGATAGCCGACTTATATAAAGATAGCTGATCAACATGGCAAAAGGCTTATTTTAGTAAGGCTCCCCTATTATACCACAAAAACACCTCCTAAAAAATCTAAGAAAAACTAGTGAAATTAATTTTGAAAAACTCAATAAACAATAGGGGTCTCTTCAATATTCTTGCCATTATCAGACAACTACTACATTTTTTAGTTTGAAGTTTGTAAAATTTTCCCTTCTATTTCCTTTAGGCCTTTAAACTTCTTTATTAACCTTAAAATTAGGTTTTTCTTAGATATTTTTAACAGGTGTGTTTGTGGGATAAGAGAAAAGTCTGGAGCAAAATAAGTCTTTCGCCATATTATCGGTCATCTTCATATAGATCGGCTACTATAGTTTCCCACGTATATAACATTACCGGACCATCTCTAAAGATCCAATACTCCTTTTGGTATAGAAAAAAATAATAAGTAAATTGCCCGAGGATCGCCAGTGAGCAGTAGGATCACATGATAATTAATTGGTAACATTGATCAGCGCACAGAGGTCATGCCAGCACGCACTGCTTCAACCAAAGAGTTCCACACGCAGTGAGTCATGACTAACAAATGCTAACAAATCTTTGTAGAATTTCTCCCAAACAAAGCTATGCAAATTAATTAACATAATTATTTTCCATCTATTACAGACACCCTTTGAACAAAGTTTACACTATCTCACAGAATCCCGATTTATTTTACACTCTCATAATCAAAAAGCCATTCAATAAACGCTCATATTATGGTAACCCCATAAAAACACTAATTTAGATCTTAAGAAATAATTATTTCCTTGTCTTAACCAAATTAGACAAAGCAACTATAGAGGAGCCCCCCTCACTCAGTGCTGCTTTTGCATTGTTTTTCATTACAAAGGTTTGTTTCCTCACTGAGTTGCCTTCCTCCGACTCCATCAACTCTCTGACTCGCTTCTCCACCTCACCTAAACTCACAAACCCGTCTTCAGACTCCACCATTGGTAAAGCGATTTTCATTTCCTCCACCAGAAATATCCTATTCAATCTTTGCTCAGCATACAGAGGCCATGCCACCATTGGTACACCAGCAATCACTGCTTCAAGCACCGAGTTCCACCCGCAGTGAGTCACGAACCCACCCACCGAGTCATGACTCAATATATCCACCTGTGGTGCCCAGGACTTCTGAACAAATCCCCTCTCATTGGTTCTTTCCAAGAACCCTTCCGGAAGTATCATATCTAAATCCGGCTCTGTTTGTTTCTTAACGGCTAGTGCTTCGTTCTTAGGAGGTGGATTCCTCACCACCCATAAGAACCTTTGTCCGCTTTTCTCTAACCCAATAGCAATTTCCTTCAACTGTTCCATAGAGAATAACCCCAAACTACCAAAACACAGAAAAACTACGCTTCGGCTTGGCTGTGAGTCGAGCCACGTCAAACACTCAGGCCTTTTATGATTTTCATCTCCACGGGAGCCACTTTTCCGGTCATCAGCTGCGGTCAACGGTCCGATGCAGTAAACAGATGGTGTGGAGCCATCCAGCACGCATAGTCCGCCTGATATTGCTTTGAGAGCTCTTTGTTCAAGATATTCAAAAGTGTTGACTATAATTCCTGCTGCTGATCTTGACCAGTTAATCGAGCAATCTAGAAAGAACTGGTAGGCCTTATCATCACGTTTAAGTAACGGTTTAGGCATGTCTTTGGCGGGTACGGGCGGCACGCCAGGGATTTGAAGAATGGTATCGACATCTTTAAAATTTTTTGTCATATTTTTGTGAATCGTGGGAAGGTAAAGGAAAGTAGACAGAACGCTAGCACCAGAAGTGAAGAAGAGGTAAGCAGGAATATTGAGTTTATGAGTGACAGAGAGAGCACAAGCGGAGAAGAAGTCTGCAACAAAAGCAGAAATGGTGTAATTTGTGGAGATAGAAATGAGGGCTTGGTGAAGATTAGGGTTATTGAGGTGCAGGACTTCAAAGATGAGGGTTTCATGGTGGGGAGAGGAGGAGATGATTAATGGAGGGAGGGTAATGGTGGGAAGCTGGTGGAAGATAATGGAAGGAATGGTAGCTGAAACTTTATTGATATAATGGGCGGTGGAGCCGGCGTTGAAGGGTGCATCGAAGATGATGATATGGATGGAGAGTGAAGGTTTGTGATTGAGGGTGAGCTTAGCTAACTCAACCATGGAGATAACGTGACCAATGGCTGGTGATGGGTACAGAACTATGGACTCCATTGATCTTCCTTTGTGTTGCGTGTAATCGCAGAGACAAAGACACTCTTCCTTACAAACCAAAGTCGTGATTTTGAAAATAATAAACTCTTAACGAAACTGGGATTTTAAAATCGCGATCAATACTATCAAATTAAAGAAATAAGATTTGATATTATTAAAGTATAAGTGGCTGTGCACAACCTTGAAACAAACTATTTATATTATAGAGTCCTGGTCATGGGTTTAGCATTAATTAAAGTATTGGCGGTGGTGCACTACCTTGAATACAATGCAATGCCGTGTACAAATTGACCAAGAGAAGGAGATGCATTAAACAATTAACACATACAAAGCAATCACAACTGTCTCTATCTATCAATTATTGATATGAACATGTGCTTTAGGTGTCCAAAAAGCCTTATGAGGTAGCACACAGATAAATGATTTGAGAGAGAAGAGCAGACCCAGCAATATTATTAACGTATGACTAATAACATAACAAATGTCATATCAGATACGAAAAGAATAACATCATATATTTCAAATTTCTAAATTTCGTCTCAAACTTTTGCATTGTTTTACTGTTATACAAATTAATGATATTTCGTTAAAAATAGTATGTACCAAATTACAATAGATACTTGAGAAAATTAATAGCCATATAAATATATAATACTGAAATTTTGTGGTCTCTCCCTCATTTAAAAACAGGTTAATAACACTGTCCCCTCTAAGGTTTGACTCAAAAATGTTTTTTCCCTGCAGTTCTCGAAACTAACGCTGGCACCCGACCATTAGTAATAAGCTGTTAAATTTGACAAATCAATGGTATTTAGTAATTGTTCAATTGAACAAGAAATACAAATCGGTTCTCTTCATTTTAAACAACTTTTCATTCTCTTGGTCTTTAAATTAGAGAAAAAGGAAAAAATAAAGAGGAAGACCACGATTTGCAAAGCCAGAATTATAAGGTCCACAAACCTGAGCGATAACATCTCGAGAGACAGGGTTGGGTGGTGGATGAAAAAATATATTCATGTGTCAGAATGACTGACTGGTTATGAGCTTTGTTCGTGAAACAATTTAAAGCCCGTTTCAAGATGGGGAAATGAACAACTCTTTGTAGTGAAAGCGTGAAACAATTTTGGTGAAGACTTTTACAAGAAACGAAAGTGTTATGCCTAAAAAATCAGGGCTAACGTAAACTCATGATAGCAAGGGTCAATCAGAATTCATGAAGGTTTTGTGCCGTCCAAACACTGCCACGTCGCGTAGGGATGAAAGAGGTAAGGCTGTCGTTAGTGGGGTAGGTGAAAGTTTGGCTTATGAGTAGCTAGGAATTGTCGACCTGCCCAAGCCCTATGCGATTTAAGGATATCTCCTATGCAGTCAGCCAATGGAAAGAAGGTTAGGAATTGTATCACACCTGCCCGATTGCAAAATCATGATTATTACCTTGAATCCCTCGACTATAAATAGAGGGCTCCTCTCTCATTTACGGGATCCGCTCAATTTTTAGTTTTCAAAAGCAGACTCTCTCTCTCTGTATTTAAATTCTCTCTAGATTGTAACTCAGCTCGTTGTACGCGATCTGACCGTAACTATCCATCAACTCAAATATAGTGGACATAGGATTCGCTTTTGAGCATCCGAACCACTTTAAAAATTGTCTTTTGTTTATTCTCTCGTTACACATTTCCATATCACGTATAATTTCTAAGTCTGCTTAGCACTTTACACGTTTGAGTCGTTGGTGTCAAAATCAAACATCAATAGTTTGGCGCTAGAAAAAGAGGGCTTGATTTAGAATCCGCTCTTCATCAGGAATCTCTGACCGATCGATCCTATCCATCAGCAAATGGCTCATGGTTTTGAAACTAAACGAACCAACCTCGACAATGAGGAGACCCCCCCGGGTACAGGATGACACTTCTCACGAAGTGCCTCCAGTCCAGCAGAGTACCATGACAGATATTCCTTTGAGCTCACAACTCGACCTAGCCGTGATGGATTACCTGAAGATGTTCAACAATACTCTCCAAACGGTTAGCCAAAGGTTAGAGTGTTTGGATCGAGTCGTACCACCAGAGTTCAACAAGGCGGTGCCACTACCAAAGACGCCTGCAGGTCGCGCAAAAGCGCGGAAAAGGGTGAAAGCCCATACCGCGCACCATACAGTGTATAAAAGTTAGGGAAAGCAAGTGGTGAACAGTGGGTTGAAGGGCTTTGAGGGACTAGCGAACACCGGTCGTGCAACAGGTAGAATACCCGTGGCATTGCGATTTGGCGACATGTCGCAGCATGAGCCATCCCATGTCACTTCGCATGGGCACTCCCACAAAAGTGCAAGGCATGAAGATTCCCAATATCACCGAAATAATGATCTCAACCGTCATCATGCAGGAAACCCTTGTCGTTCGCAGGTCAGTTCTAACCACTGTAGAGGTCGGGAAAACTCCTCGAGCCATTCAATGCCTTCACACAACCCCAGCCAACGTGTGTCAAGGATAGCCGAAGCTTCCGACCAAGTTGAGGAAGAGCCCGATTTGCGGCTTTCCTCAATCGCAACCGTGAGGGTCGAACCCACATTGCGAAAAGTGATCCTTAGGTAGCTCCACTACCTCAGATTTAAGAATTATAGCGAGCTTTAGATCAGCTTAAAGCTCAACAGAATGAGCGTGGAAAAGTCGCCGAGGCATCTCCCTTTTCTCCAACAGTGTTAGCTGCTCATTTCCCGTCGAAAGGATCTATCAGCTTATGGCAACAAATGAGCTCGTCATTCTTAAGGCACTTCTACGCGAATAAGAAGTTCTCAATGTCGTTGATCTATCTAAGCAACATACGGAATGAGAGGAATGAATCACTTCAGTCTTACATAGACAAATTCCACAAGGAACTCTACAAAGTGGCTCACACTCCCGAAGAGTCTGTTCGGACTCTCATTATTGCGGGGGTTCGCCCGCAGACTGACTTGTGGAAAGAATTGCAATCCGAGGATGATGTTTCCCACACTCGCTTCTACGACCTTACTGAGAAGTATTTTCGAATCAAAAATTCTGTGGCCACTTTTAATCGCCATGACCCCAGTCCCTCAACCAGTGCCCCTGACTAGGGAGAGAATAATAGAAGGGTTGATCGTAGATGGGCTAATAACGATCAGCAAAAAGGAAAGAAACAGCGATTTGAGCCCAAAAAATCTTACGCCCAAGTTCCCCATCGCGACAAAAGCCAATATACTCTTTTGAATGCCTCAGTGTCGACCATTCTAGATAAGTCAATGGAAGCCAGCCTGCTCGGAGAGCCAGAGCCCATAAAGAACCCCCCCCCCCCCCCTCCCCTAGAGCTAGGAACAGTAAAAAGTATTGCCTCTATCATCAGGATAATGGGCAGCACACCAATGAGTGTCGAGCTCTCAAGCAAGCAATTGAAGACCTCATCAAGCAGGGGCACTTCCAGAAGTATGTTGATGGTCTGACTCCCATTCGGGAAAAAGATCAAGAGGAACAAGGGAAGAAGCACCGTGGTCATAAGGGTCTCTACTGTATAGGGATCATTTTTGGAGGACCACACCTCGCGGGGAATTTTGGAGGTGTCCTGGAAAGGTATGCTCGGGAAGCTTGTCATGACCCTATGAGTGTGATGAGCACAGCGCCGCGACCCGCTAAGGTTCGTAGGGAAGAAGAGATTACTTTCTCAGAGCAAGACATGGTGTGATTGCATCATCCCCACGAGGATGCACTCGTCATCGAGCTTGAAATAGGTCAGTGCAAAGTCTACATAATGTTGGTGGACAATGAAAGCGCTGTGAATATCCTGTTTCAGCGAGCTTTCAAAAAAATGTAATTGGACGAGGCAGACTTTAAGCGTGCCTCTATCCCTCTCTACAATTTTACTAGGGATCATCTGATTCCTAGGGGAATGATCACACTCCCTGTCATTTTGGGTAAGACCAACGAAGTGACCAAGATAACGGAGTTCTTGGTAGTAGACTGTCTATCTGCCTTTAATGACATTCTGGGACGACCTCTACTATGAAGTTTTAAGGCCGTCACCTCCATCTATCATCTGAAAAATAAAGTTTCCCACTCCGAAGGGGATTGGGGAAGTAAAAGGATCTCAACGCGAATCTCGTAGCTACTACATAAGAGCAGTGCAGATGGCGTGTAAGGGAAAGGAATGCTAATAGGCATCCCCAAGTAGGCTATGGCGATTAGCAAGATCGAGCCACAACCCGGTCAATAGAGGATAACATGGATCCTCGCATCCAGGAGTGCCCTCATAGTGGGCCAGTTGAGGATCTATCTGAGATATCAGTCGATCAAAATGAGCCGACTCGAGTGTTGGGAATCGAGAGTAATCTCAACCCCTAACTCGCCAAAAGCTTGACGAGCTTTCTTAGAGAGAATGTCGATGTTTTTGCATGGACTCATGCTAATATGATCGGGATCAGGCCGAATGTGATATGTCATGCACTCGACATTGACAATGCAGTCAAGCCGGTTCGCCAGAACAGAAGAGCCATGGAGTCGGAGCGCTATGCTGCCTTGAAAAGTGAGGTAGATAAGCTTATTTCAAATGGGTTTATTTGAGAGACGCGTTACCCGAGTTGGGTTGCCAATCCAATCTTGATAAAGAAGCCGAACAGAAAGTGGTGAACTTCACCGACCTCAACAAAGCCTATCCAAAGGACAGTTTTCCTTTGCCAAGGATCAACCAGCTCGTTGATGCCACCTGCGGGCACAAGCTGTTGAGCTTTATGAACGCCTACTTGGAGTACAATCAAATCCCGATGTACGCACCTGACAAAGAGCATACCTCTTTCATTACAGATTGAGGATTGTACTGTTACAAGGTCATGCCCTTCGACCTAAAAAATGATGGGGTAACCTACCAGCGGCTGGTTAACCGTATGTTTTTCGAGTAGATCAGAAAGTCGATGGAAGTTTATGTTGATGACAAGCTGGTCAAGTCACATGTCGCTTCAAATCACATAGCTTATCTCATTGAGATGTTCGTGCTCTGAAAGTACAGGATAAAGCTCAACCCTTTTAAGTGCTCATTCGGAGTATCCTTAAGAAAGTTTCTAGGATATAAGGTTAACCAA